CCGGGGGGGGGGGGAACTTCTCTCAGGGAGGGGAGTATATTGAGAATCAATCACAAAGGGAGTAGGGCGGCTTCACTCATGCAAGCGCGTGCCGTTGTCGTTAGACCATCGACCTCGCACCCCCACCATGCCCGGACGCAGGAGCGATGTGCCAGGTGCTGGAAAATCCCGGCTTCAGAGGATCGAACAATTACCCCCCGCTGCGTGCCTGCCGCACTACACAGGAACCTGTTAAAGGGGGAGGCGTGTGCGATCGATCGTACCGGGGAAGTATACGTCGGCCACCGTCGCGCCCTCGGTGACCACCGGCTTCACCAGGAGGTCCGCACCCGCCATCCACTGCTCGTTCGTTCCATTGTTGAAAATGTGTTTTGGGGCCATGTTTTGAATGTTTTGTGTTTTTGCCGCGGTCGTAGTCGTCGTCGTCGTCGTCGTCGTAGTCGTCGTCGTGGACGTTGTTGATATTGAGTTTTAGACCGTTTTTCGGGTCGGCCAGGGAGGAGAGAAGAAGGCGCGGGGGGGGAAGGGGGNAGTGCGTGGGTTTCGGACGACGTGAATCAACGAAGTACAATCAGCAACGATGGCCACACAGAAGGGAAAAAAAAAGTGATGACGGCAAAGACTTTGAGACGATGGGCCGCACCTGGTTGTCCATGTCAAACGTGTTGGCGTCGCCGGGGTACTGGACCCACATGGGCCGCATCATCGGCATGCCGGTGTCGCTAGCCTCCTGGAACAGGGTGTACCTTCGTTTGGGGGGTGGGGGGGACGCAGCGTACTCATTCAGTCATAGCTTGCTTTGCAAGCTTTGACGCGGGTCATGAAGGTCACCAAGAGATTACGCTCCCACTCCTAGTAAATCAAATTGGAACTTCGTTCTGATGCCCACCACCGACTTCCACCTTGCACTCCTGCAAAACTACGCCGCCTTCGTTTCGTGCAAAAGAAAAGAAAGGCACGAGAGGGGAGTATGCCTTTCATCATCACCGCCTTTGCAAGATCATGCCCGTGCCCACTCGCTCACCAGTACGGCAGCAACGCGTACCGCGCCATCACCACGGAACGGACGCGCGCCGTCCATGGATCCCCGTACACCCAGGGCTCCCGCCTCTTGGAGTCGTGGTGAGCGTGGGAGCGGAAGAACGGCTGGTACGCCGCGGCCTGGGTGGTGTTGCCGCGGGCGGTAACCGTGCACATTTACCACACGCGCGTTGGTCGAAGGCGGAAGGACAAACTAAATAAATAAGCGGAACAAAGGATGACTGAGGTCTCTTCAAGGTAGGACTTTGAGGTCGCCGTAGGAGCATCGGCAACGCCTTGCAGACTTTGGAAAACCAAGGCCGCGTGTGGTGGACGGATTCACTCAATAGATGAAAGCGAAAAAAAAAAAAAAGAGGGAGCGTGACATGATGGGTGGTGGATAAACATATGGATGTGATGGGCGGATGACGCTAAGGGATGACCATTACCTGAAGACAGGGCTAGAATCGACAGCTAAGTGGGGGGGGGGGGGACGATACAGGCAACCCTTTACCCAAAACCCGCTTCTCCTTGTTCGCGTGTTTTGATCCGCACCTCGTCATTATCGTGTGTACCCAACAGCAGCAGCAACAACAACAGCAACAACAACAACAACGCCAGGGCCAGGGACAACACCGACAACAACAACAACAACAACAACAACAACAACAACAACAACAACAACAACAACAACAACACTAACAGCAGCCGAAGCAGCAGCAACAACAACAACGACAACGTCAGCAGCAACACCGATCACCACGATAACAACGGCAGAAGCAACAGCGACAACTTCAACGCATCCGTTTCGGCTGCTGTGGCAGTATCATGAACGGGTAGTCTCTTCTGTGAGGTTGTGGATTACTTTCTAAAGACAAGCAACATTTTCCCACCGCACCTGCATCCAGCGCAGGAACAGTTCCGCGGAAGGGTCCCCGAAGAACCCGCCGACGTCCGCACCCACGAACGGCAACCCCGCCAGGCTCATCGACAGCAGCATCGGCGCCGACGCCGCGAGGTGATCCCACCTGACCAAACAACACACGAACAAAAGCGCGGGGGGGGGGGGGGGGGGNGGGGGGGGGGGGGGGGGGGTAAGAGAAGAAGAACGGGTGGAGGGTAAGCACAGGCACACAAGAGCCAGTGGTGCCAGCTGAGCTAGGAGAGGAGGACGTGATGCATCGAATTCGGAAAGACTGGTGGTGGCTACGAGGTGATGCTCACGCCTGAGCAGAAAGGCGGGGGAGGAACCGATGAGAGCAAACTCATTAGTTGCCTGCTTCACGGTCGTTCGCCCATTTGACTACCAAAACCCCCCTTGCGAACGTCCATTGACTACCGAAATCCCATTCGTGAATGCCGCAGGTATGCGTGTGAAAGCACAACCGTTTACGGTCGTTCGACCATTTGACTACCAAAACGCCGTTTGCGAATGTCCATTGACTTTCCAAAATACCCTTCGTGAATGCCGCGGGTGTGTGTACAAAAGCACAATCGTGTCGGATTTTCGTTGCCGTCGCTTGCAGTCTCTCCCCTCTCTCTTACTCTTATTTGGCAATGCTGCCCCCCCCAGGGCCGGCGAAAACCCGGCATGCATATCGCTCCGTCCCGGCATTGTAAAGATGCAAGGTCAATGGCCTACGGCATGCGAATACATGAGTGCACCCCCCCCCTCCCC